TTTTTTTTTTGAGACGGAGTTTCACTCACGTTACCCAGGCTGGAGTGCAATGGCGTGATCTTGGCTCACCGCAACCTCCGCCTCCTGGGTTCAGGCAATTCTCCTGCCTCAGCCTCCTGAGTAGCTGGGATTACAGGCACGCACCACCATGCCCAGCTAATTTTTTGTATTTTTAGTAGAGACGGAGTTTCACCATGTTGACCAGGATGGTCTCGATCTCTTGACCTCGTGATCCACCCACCTCGGCCTCCCAAAGTGCTGGGATTACAGGCTTGAGCCACCGCGCCCGGCCTAAAAACATTTTTTTAAAGCAGGCTTTTACTCTGTCACTCATGTCATTCATGTTGGAATGCAGTGGCATGATCACAGTTCATTGCAGCCTTGAACTCCTAGGCTCAAGTGCTCCTTTCACCACAGCCTCCTGAGTAGCTTAGGTGCAGGCAACCACACCAGGATAATTAACATTTTTTTTTTTTTTTTAAATTTGTAGAGATGTGGTCTTGCTATGTTGCTCAGGCTGGTCTCAAACTCCTTGTCTCAAGTGATCCTCCTGCCTCAGCCTCCCAACCTGCTGGGATTACAGGTATGAGCCACCACACTTAGCCTAAAAGACGTTTCTTTATGAGGAATTGACACACATGAATATGGAGGCTAAGAAGTCCCACAGTCTGGTGTCTTCAACCTGGGGGCCCAGGAAGTAGGTAGTGTAGTTCCAGTTAAAACTCTAAGGCTTGAGGAACAGAGGAAGAATTTGTGTTAGTCCCAACCTGAGTCTGAAGGTCCAGGAACCAGGAGCACTGATGTCCAAGGGCAGGAGGAGATGGATATTCCAGCTCAAGCTGAGAGAAAGGCGGAAAGAGAGAGAGAAAGAGCGAGAGAGAGAGAAAGAGTGAGCGAGAGAGAAAGAGTGAGTGAGAGAGAGAGCAAATTCGTCCTTCTTCACCTTTCTGTTCTGTGTAGATCTCAATAGAATGGATAATGACCACCTGAAATTGTGAGAGGGAGTGATCCTCTCTATTCAGTCTATTGATTCAAATGCTAATCCCTTCCAGAAACACCCTCACAGATGCACTCAGGGATATCATACCAGCTTTCTGGGCATCCCTTTGCCCAGTAAAGTTGACACATAAAATTGACCATCACAGTAGGCCCTTAACTAAATCTGCTGAAGGAATACATGAGTGCAAGAATCCCTATCTCCACTGTGAAGAGGTTTATAAATACACATACCAGAATGTAATATCCTGCATATGTATGTATGTGTGTGTGTGTATGTATGTGTGTGTGTGTATACATATATATATATATGTCTTCCATGTTTCTAAATTCTGTTCATTTCCTTTTTAGATAATTTCATCACTGATAGAAAGAAAGAAGTGGGAAAGAGAATTGCTCTGCCCTATGGAAAACTAAACTGGAAGCCAGTATTTTCTGAAGTCCCAAAAAGAGTTAAATAGAACCTTTGATGACTGTAGCCTCAAACTCTGTAATTCAAAACCAAAGTGTCCCTCTGTACTTTGCAAAAGTCTGGGATACACTCCCCTGGCTCTGTTAGTGAGACTGAGGACATTCAGCCTCCAGAGGATAAATACTGGCATTTAAGTTTTTCTCTCCGGAAGCACTGAGGCAAGCTCTTTCTACTGTTCTGCCTGCCTCATGGGGCTTCTCCCTTATTAGTGAGAGAACTTCAAAGTTGGGCTCATTATTCTGGCCTCCTTTTTCTTCTTCCTGTCTACCCTCATCTTTGTCCAGGTTACCTCTTATAGTATAAATACACTTTATAGCCCAAAACATAAGGACTCCATCAGCAAATGAATATTCAAGTTCGACTCCCAGGGATGGATTACCCACTGTGTGCAGGACCATTTAATCTCCCAGCAAAGAATTTCTACTCCACTCCAGCTCCTAGTGTGTGTCCATTCCTCTGTCAAATGGGATGACAATGAGATTAGCAATGAGTGAATGGCCTGGAATCAGCTCTCAAGACCACATAATCTAATGGGGACAGGGTAGGCAGGATCTTCTAGGAATGGTGAAGGCCGAGAAGATATCACAAGACTGTAGAATGTAATTTAGTGTCCTCTTATATAATTTCTGGAATAAGCCAGGATCCTCATCTTTAAGGATGATGCAGTCTCAGTGTGTTTGTAAGAATTAACAATGCTAAATTGCTTGTAAAGCCCTTTCTTAGCCACTTTTTTTTTTTCCTGTATGTAAGAGCATCCCACTTGAAAACAGGAAAGGCTCTATTTAGAATCCATCCTGGAACATGCTCCTTGACTTGCAAACCCTGTTCACCAGCATTTTAACTCCAAATTTCCAAATTGTCTACCTTTCTCAGAAATACCTACAGATGTTCATTAATTAGCATCTTCTCAATGATTCAATTTACTTTATGAAATTTTCCAACATAAGCTTACACATACTCATCTGTCTGTCTGGTGCGTTTACTACAAACAGGTTGAAGGTGGGGCTGGTTTTGAGACCCTTGTCTTTGGACTCCAGCGTCACCTTTAGGAGCAATGATAATGAGAACGTCCAGGTTCTGAGCTGCTCCCTGACCTTATCCCATTACATGGTTCTTCATTGTCTGTTGGTCCCTGACTGCAGCGTAACACTAATGGTGAGAAATAGAGTGGAGGAAGTTAAAACAAAAGCTAAAATGAGATTTGCATTTCTAATCCATGGGCCGCAAGTGTGCAGATTCTCCTTAGTATCATGGGTGATTGAAAACCAAGGGTGCCATCACTTATAGGGCAAGCCATTGTTTTTTTCTTGGTCCCTTTTCCTTACCTGTTCCACAGCAAACTCCATTCCTCAACTCTCTCCTCTGGACCTTAGAGCTCTCATCTCCCAAGTGTAGGGATAGGAGGCCTCTAAATATCCTGAGTTCTTAAGTGACAGGGCATTTTGGAAGATTCAAGCAACTCCACGTCAGAGATTGTTGTACCTGTTGAGGGGCATTTAGGTCAACCCTTCTGTGAAGGTTTCAAAACATGGATGCAGATTCTTTTTTTTTTAAGACGAGGTTTCACCATGTTGGCCAGGCTGGTCTTGAACTCCCAGCCTCAGGCGATCCGCCCGCCTTGGCCTCCAAAGTGCTTGGATTACAGGCATGAGCCACCATGCCCGGCTTGGATGCAGACTCTTTAACATTCTTCCCATCTGGAGATAGGGTCTATGTCTTTGACCTCTGAATCTGGGTGAGTCTGCAACTACTTCAATCAACAGAATATGATGAAAGGGATACTCCGTGCCCTCCAAAGTTAGATCACAAAGGCCTTGTTCTTCCACCTTCTTTCATGCAATGTAATGTCAGGCACTCTGAGACCGCCATGCTGGAGCAGCCATCTGTTCCTGGAGTCCGTCGTAGTGGAGCTCAGCCTTCTAACCATCTCGTCAAAGTGCAGACATACGATCAAGGAAGCCTTCAGATGATTCCAATTCCCAGGTATTCAAATCACCCCTGGCTGTTGGAGTCTTCCCAGCTGGGGTCCCAGGAATTTTGGAGCAGAAACATGCCATTTTCTCTGTGCCCTAGCTGAATCCCTTACCCTCAAAATCTGTGTGCATGTTAAGCAGCTATTATGCTACTAACTTTTGGAGTAGTTTATTACACCCCAACAGAATGAGAATGTCTGTTAAGCAATAGACAAACATTCTCAGTGGGATATCTGGCTGGCCCTTTCAGATGAAGCTTAGAAGTATTGTTGGTAAAATGGAAATCCTTAGCCTTTAACTTGTGTGTCTGTATGAAAGTGCATTGGGAGTCTTTGCCTCTTCTTTGCTGAGAGGATGTGTTGGAGGAGACCGAGAAAGTCACCTTTCAAAAGAGTGTTGCTCTCCTCTCCTGTGCTGACACATTCTCCCTGCTGCATTCCTTCTTGTGCCTCTGCATCCACCCTGCTGTGCAAAGTGTTGCATGGGAGCACACCCCACCACCCCTGCATCTGGAATTCCTTAGAGCAGGGGTCCTCCCTGCTTCCTATCAAAACTGTGTTCATCCTGAATGAAGAATGGGCTTTCCATCAGAGAGACTGTGAAGGGACTGGAAACAATGAAAGGCAAGGCTTAGTCATTTTTGCTACACATGAGGAGGTGCTTAGTAAGTGATTTCTTTACATGCTTCATCCCGTTGACTCACAGCCACTCTGTGAGAAAGGGAGGCAGGCACGAGCGTGGCCCCATTTAACAGACGTGAGAGGGAATTAGAGGATTGAGTCACTTGCCAGGATTTTGATCCTTGCATGACTTGTACACTTAACCTCTCTGCTATCCTGCTTCTCAGAAAGACCCCAATCCGGAGGTCTGTCTCTAATGGTTAGGAATGAGACCTTAAGAAACTCATACCATCTAGACCTCTTCATATGTCACCTGGGGGTGAAACTTTCTGTCCTGCAAGATCAAAGCACATTTGAGGGTCCTCATGATGCCCCATTTGTGCAAAAGCATTTGTAACCTCTTGGGCTTCTTGTATTTCCAGGAAGCACCTTGAACTTCTCTTCCTTAGATGCCATTATATTTTGAAATGCATAGTTTTTATGTTAAAAAAAAAAAAGGTTTGATACAATTTTGGTTCAACGCTAGGTACACCTCTTTCTTTTGTCTCTGACAAAAGCCCAAAGCAGTCAGGTTGCATGAATCTTAATCCCAAAGTAATCTCCACCTCCTCATTGCAATGAGTGCCTCGCATCTCAGAGGTCAGTCCAGTTAGAACAATGAGCCCGAGATGTATTGAACTGCTGCTTGGTGATAATTATATCTTCTTCTTTTCAGTAGATTCCCATTAGTCAGTTTAAAGCTTGCATTTGGAGAGGGCTCTGTGCTCTGCATATAACTGAGTTCACCTCCTGTACCCCAGCTCCAACCCCGAGTGCAGCCACCAAGTTCATCATTACCACCAGCTCCTTCTATGTGGTTCCCACTTCCCACCCCTGGCAACCAGTCACCAAGGGCTTTTCACTCCTTATATAATCTTCCTGATACTTCCTGCCTCCTTTGCCCTCCTCCCCAACTTTATCTTTGCTGTGTCTCCTTTCATTTGGTGTCTCATCTGCTTTCACCTGCCATATTCTCTCGCCATCCTTACTGGCTTGACAGATGGCACCTCTTGTGCCCACACTAAGCCATTGCCCACAGCAGAGCCAGTGAGATATTTTACAAATGCAAATGCCCTACCTCCCATCTGGGAAGTAGTGAGGATTCTTTGAAGTGATAGAAGTAGTGGGGGAAAGGGGCCAGAGGTCACTGCCCTGTGATCATCTCCCATGCTTGTGTGTCCCATGGAACGTACACTTCTTGAGGGCAGACCTTCTATGTTCTTTGTCTTCATGTTCTCAACAACCCACATGGTGCCTGCCACAGAGGTTTAATTATGAATGAATGAGGAGCAGTTAGGTGTGGAAAGCTCTGAAGAGAAACCTGGGAAATCACAGGAGATGGACAAAGATGCTACCAGCTCCTAGATCTGAACTCAACAGCTATCTCAGCCCAAGAGTTCAAGGAATAATGCAGGTTAATGAAAGTAGAGAATAGTTTGATGATAGTTTGAGGGCCAAGATCTGTCCTACTTAGTGATGTGGCAGACAGACAGGGAGAGAAGCAGAAAAGAAGGCGCTAGCTAGGGTCTCATCGAGGGCTGACTGAAAGACCTAGGTCTGTGGGAGCCCTCCAATCTGGATTCCATTCATGTTCTTAGTCCTCATAACTCTGTGACGTGGGAGGCTTGCTTAATCTTTACAACACTCAGTTTCCATCCTGGGAATTGTACCATATCAAGGAGGGAGAATCCTTCCTTCTCTGACAGCATAGGAGTGGTCTGAGTGTGTGCTGTCTGGGATCAGATGGAGCATGCTTGAATCCCAGTTGTGGCCCTCTAGTGAGTACTTGGGCAAGTTACTTAACATCTAAAAGCTTCAGTTCCTTGCTCTGTAATATGGGAAATACTGATTTCACATGGGATTCGAGAAGACTAAATAAGATGGGTATTAAAAAGGTAACACATGGTGAGTGGTCTCTGAAAAATAGTTGCTTCCACTTTATTTGGGGCAATTAGTTGCTTTCACTTTATTTATTTCCACTAAGGGGCAAACTCAAACTTGCCCCTTAGCGGCCCCATCCCCCGTCTCCCACCCTGGGCTCTGCATTCATGGTACCCACCATTCCCCAAGCCCACTCTGCTTGCTGAAGATTCTTTTCCTCCTGGCTCTCCCCTGGCATTGTGAACTGCCCTCTCTCCTCCTTTTCTTGAAAAGTGATTTTATATCCTTGGCTTTGTGTGGGCT